TAAAAAGAGATTGTGTTGGGAAAAAAAAATTAAAAATGAAGGAAATTGCTTTGACATTTTCTGGGTTTCCTTGTCTTTGAAGCGCTTTTACTTATTTTATAATGCAATTAGAAATAAAAAAAAAATCTACAGCACTTTCTCGACAAAATAGGTGACGGACAAAGGACAATTTTATCCTTTTTTGAGGCAAAGTCCTTGGGTCTTTGTAAGCGCATTAGTCCTGCTAATTAAATATTATATGTTAAACGAAAAATGCCAGCATGAAAAGCAGCTGAATTGTTTGACTCAAATTCACGGCTGCAGCCTTGATGAGTGGAAACTGTGCGTGACCATGAGAGGGTAAAGAACGTCATTGTTGCCGGTCGTCGCTTCATTTGACCCATCATAATTCTTTCTAATAATTCAACAATTCACATTCCCCCTTTTGTGCTCCGTTCAGAGACGAAGACGGGAAGAAACAGTGGAGCCCTGAAGAAGGGCTCGCCGACGCGTCTGAGTGCGTCGCGTTCACCTTGTAAAGTAGTCTGTGCTTCGTTTTGCTTTACTTGGAAATGAATTGTTCTTCAGTTATAAAATAGAGACGTTGCCTCAAAGACCAACTAAAAAGCCAACGAATCAGAAAGACTAATTGTTCCGTCTGGGTTGGCGTTGATCAAACTTCTTCAAGCTGAGGACCACTTAACCCTTTTAACGGTCACAGACCGCCGAACCTGAGACTGGACAGGTGTCACGATTGCACATCTTAATATATGAAGCAACCTGAAATGAAAATGTTGGTATCTTAGGGTTAGCTTACCCTAACCCATTACAATAAATCCTAACATATTGTTTTATTTGTTCATGCTAAAAACAAGAGAAAGCCACAAACCGGTCTACTTTGGCATTTTGACTTATTTACAGATTCTAAGCTTTCCTCTAATGTCAAAGTCATAGAAATAGAAAGAAGTTGTTCTCTTTCTATTGTTTAGTGCATTAATAATATTTAAGCCTATTTGTGATTTAGAAGCACAATTAAAGGAAAATGGGTTTGGGTTGCTTTTAATACAAACAAACAAACAAAAATCATTTTCTGCATCGTTAAAACTAAAAATAATTAATACATTTCTATAATTGTAATTATGGATTTAAATTTTTTTCATTAAATGAAAATAACAATAGCTGTTGACCTGAAAGTAGGGCATCATAAATTACCAAGCAAATTCATTAATAAAACCCACCAACCAAAGAACAGTTCTGACTCGCCGGGGTGATTCCCAAACTCACCTTTCGAAGGAATCCAGTCACTGCTCAACACGCAGCAGCTATGACTCAGCTTCCTCTGATCATATTGTACAGTTTCAGGCATAACTGGGGCAAAGGGTGCTAAAAAAAACCCCTATACACCATCACACCACTGCCACCACCCTAAACTATTGATACAAAGCAGGACGCATCCATGCTTTGGTGCATTTTCTGTCAAATTTGTACCGTCATCAGATTGCTGCAGCTGAAACCCAGACTCGGACAGATTACATTTTTTCAAATTTGCTTCCGACTGCTAATGGCAACCAGTGAGGTATTCTGCTGCTGTCGTACATCCAGAGATTATATTCTTGATTGTAATGGTCATCAAGACACTGTTGGTCTTCTTCTTGACACTCAACAGCAGCTGATTGAGTATTTTCAAATTTTGGACTCTTCTCTGTAAACGAGAGATGATCGTGGTGAAAATCCGAGTAGATCAGCAGTTTTTTACTCAGAGCCAGCTTTTCTGGCACCCAACTCCAATGCCACAGACGGTCCCCTGAAAGCCCCTCCATCCCCATTCCGATGCTTGTTTTTAACCTCAGAAAATCATCTTCACTTTGTTCAGTGGCCTCAATTGAGGTGAGTGTAGGTCTGTTGGGGGAACAGCTCATGAACACAAGTATGCAGAAGTAACCATCTGTCTGCGGAGTCACTGGCTACAATGACTCAAGATTTCAAGAATGGTACGTAGAGGTCTTCATGAAACAGAATAGGGGTTCAACGGCCAATCAGCAGCAGGGATAAATGAGGGATCTCAGTCTGACGGACGAGCGATGACTTGGTGCTTCCTTCATGTGAAACTTTTGGAATTTTGGAGCGTTATGACGTTGGTATTTGTGTTGTGTTTCATTGAGTTTCTTGTTTAATGGAAATAATCCAATTGCGAAATTGTGTTTGGTTTTTTCAACCCTTAGTGGAATCTTGACGAAGTTTCGCGCACGTTTCACGTAATGGAAGCGCAGCTACTTTTACCACATACATACTCGACGTTCGCAATTTAATTCAATTGGTTGAGGTTTTCCCATTTTGACTGGTTTGTATAACAAACTGGTCTTGACTGCACTGCTGGAGTAGTTTGAATTTGATCTGTCTGGGTCTGAACTAGCTAAATATATGTCAGTTTGATCTGCTTGCCTTGTTATGTACTTTGACTTTTTTTGTGATTTGGTGCCACATAAATATGCTAAATGAAGTTTTACAGAGTTTATGATGTACTCTTCTGCCCCATTGAACAAATAAGTTACAGCAAGTATTTAAATGATTTAAAGATATATTAAAAAAGAGAGAGAACCTTTAATCACTCCTGTTTACATATTTTTTGATGTTACTCATGTTCACATTTTCTATTAGGACGAAGCTCCGGAATGCTTCACAGGTTTGTTTTTAGTATCATTTTCCAGTTTACCTTTTGTCACGCGCATTACCTCTCTCTCCATAAAAGTCAGGTCATGCTCTGTAAATTAAATCATTACTTGAATGTAAGCATTTCCACTCCTTGAAAAAAATAGTGTCTAAACGTTAACAGCAGACAAGGTTTTGCTTCACCTGTGAACGTGTCCCCGTCGTTTCTGCCTGGAGGAGGATTTGTGTCGATTCCAGGCTGTGGTGACCGCACCACCAACCACATGAGATACGACTGCAGCACCTTTGATCACTGGAGGCTTCTTTTAAACACAGGCAGAAACACAACTTTTCATTTCTAAAGCTCTTGGGGCCATAAATTAACATAGGAAGAAACTAAGTGGGCTGTGTTGAGCCTATTAATCACGTTGCTCGTTTATGTTTACTTAGGTTGTTATGTTGAATTTGTAGTTATCTAACCACGATATCCGGAAGTTTGAGAGGATGACCTCGGTCTGAAGACTACTAGAGACTTCTCTGTGTTTTCCTTTTGGATGAAGACAAAGATGAAGCTGGATCTGTCCACAATCACAGTGGCTGCATTTCCGTTACAAACGTGATCTTTGTCGATGTTCCTCCGATGCTGCATAAAGTCCAATGTGCTTCCATTAAATAAGGAACAATTGAAATGACTCGCGCTCCTCCAACCACTTCCTGTTGGCTTCTTCTCTGTGGTTTGCGGCAGTGGCAGCGTCTAGTTGTTGATTGTGTGACTTGTGCAAGAGTTTCCGTTGCAGTTTTGTGAAATTAGCCAACATGAATGTGGCCAAAAAATGAAGAAATAAAACCTCATCCTGGCGGCAAAACTCTTGATCGAAAAGTATTTCCGTTAACCAAATTTATGTTCAAAACGTCAAAATTATGAAATGCAATTCGCGAACCCAATTGCGGAGCAAAATTGACAAATTACTGATTTCATGAAAAGTGAAATAAAAATGTGAGATTTGCTGAGTCATCAGACAAGAGACGTCCTCACAATATGAAAGACGTGAAGGACGTTTGGAAGGTTTAACCAAGTTACCCTTTTGAAAAAATATTGGCTTGAGGCTTATTTTTAAAATTAAACCATTCTAAATAAAAATCACACTACAGGTGGAAAACCAAGACATCTAAACAGGGACGATCAACTTTTAGAATGCAGTTGGTTGCTTTAGCATCACATTGTATTGCTAGCAAAATCATAAACCAGAAAAACAAAACAATGCAACAAAAAAAAAAAGATTTGAAGCAGTACACAATTTTTTTGCAACTTCAGCTAACTTTTTCTTTAATTACGTTTGCATAAATATATTTAAATCCTCCCTACATTGCTCTCTTTGATAAATGGGAAAGTTAGACATGCGGATAAATCAACTGCGATGTGACTCATGACTCAAGCCGGTTCATGCTCTGCTGCCCATTCTTTCTAAATGACAGAGCGAGCGTCATAACAATAAAAACAATGTTTTATGGCTAATTTTCTGGCACTAGATATAATGATAAGCATTTTCTGACATAGAAAAGAAAAAGACTATAATTGTAGCATCAGTCTAGTTCTTGAAAGCTTTAGTTTTCGTGGTGTGAATACCAGACATCAGCTCAACCTTTCTCTTGAAGTGGTTATAAAAAAACAACACAAAAACAACAAACGACCAAATGTGAAAAAGATGCAACTACCTCAAATGACTTGTGCTGTTCGGTGTTTCACCAGAATTTCAAGCGCTCAGTTTGTGAGCGCTTGAAACCTTCTGTTGTTTACCTTCTGGTGAACTAGCAGCTTGTTCTGCTGCAGCAGGTTAAGCTGGGAGTTAAGACAATTTGGACGCCTTAACAATGCTCTACTCATTTCAAAGGAAGCATTGCATGACCTAATGCTGGGAAACTCTGGAAAAGGTGCCGACAGCAGCTTTACAGCGTGCTCTGAGGAAACAGAACGATTTCCCAATAACTTCCACTTTGACTAAGCTGACATGAAAACTTGTTTTCCATCAGGACTGTGGTACACGCTCAATAAGCCCACAAATAACCCTCTTATGGCTTTTATGATCAGGCTCCGTTTTTGTGGCTTCATGCAACTTGGCTGTGGGAACAATTAATGCTTTTCTGGCACAAGCGTTGTTTCAATTTGCCAAACAGGCTTATCGGCATAGTGACTGTGGTAAAATAAATATTCAATAAATCACGGCGATAGCAAAACACATTAAATCTCCCTATGGACTGAAATAACAAACAAAAGGAAACACTTTTACAGGCTGGCTCCTTACGCATGCGTTTCAGCGACGGGTTTTTCGAGTGTCGTAGCCTGCAAAAAATCAAATGGAAAGACAAAAGCGGACGACATCGCTTCAGGGTTTATTCAATAGTTGGTTAACTGGCTCGCCGACAATTCGAAGTATTCTTCTTTCTTCTCAAAGTAGTAGCTGAGTCGAGCGACAGCGTACCTGGGGACAAAACAGTAGAAAAAAATTGTGATGGGATGATATTTTAATAGATTGCATAACGATTCTCAGTTTGACGCACAATCGCCAGCTGGTTATAAAGTTCGAAAAATGAGCATCTTGTCTTCCAGTCTGTGAATGAATCGTTTTATTTGGTAACCAAGTGGCTGCCCATGGCAGCTTCAGTGCTGATGCTAACCAGTCAACGTAGGAGCTACTTCCTCACATACTTCAAAATAAGAGTCTTGAGTATAGATAAGAGTAAGGCCTAAAGCTCTCATCCTGGCTCATCCAGAGCAATAGTTGGAGAAGTCGTATTCAGAAGGAAGTGGGATGGATTTCCTTTTCTGTAGGTGGACAAGCCCATTAACAATTTCACACGTCGCCTGATCATCTCAAATATAGTTTGTGGATCTATGCACTAAAATAAAAATAAGACATTGCAACTTCGTACTGTTTTAGCTGTGATGTGGATACTTTTTTTTTCCTAATTTCAATCTCCTCTGTAAAACTTTTATTCAGTGCCTTTCAGCACATCACATGTTGAAGACTAAGGGATGCTATTGTTGCTTTGTGCCTTTATATTTACTTTCTGCCACTCCCTCATGCCACTTTTATGTGTGTCCTTGGATTTTACGTTTGCTGTATCTCTTAACTATGTTTGACAAGGTCTAGTTTAGTAATAAAAAACGTTTTCAAAAAGTGCCTGAGGAAATAGAACCATTTTTAACACTCGCTGCGTCTCCATTACAAACGTGCACACAACGATCCCGACAAAAAAAACACAATTTTGCCATTGAGGCATTTCCATAAATTGAGAAATGGAATTAAAATCACACATGAATAAGTTTGTCCATTCAACGACTTACGCATTAGTCGCTGAAAAAACACACCGCACCAAGATCCTCCAACTACTTCCTGTCATCTTCTTCTCCGTGGTTTGTGCTCGTGGCAACGTCCCATTGCCGATCACGTTATTTGTGTGGCACGAAAAAACGTGCTTCTTTTGCAATTTTATGAAACAGACCAATATTGATACGTCCAAAAACCCACCTAACACCACCACCAAAACATTTTATTTCCAAACTGCCGTGTTTCCATTAAGCAAATGGAAAGATGGTGGAATCATCCGGTGAATGGAAACGGCGCCACTGTGTTAACCAGAAACTCAGAGTTTCCTGTGATGTCAGAAATTCAGACCGACCTCCAGACGTATCTATCTAAAGGGAAAATGAGCTGCTTTGTCTATACAGAAAAATGAAACAGCTTTCTTGAGGATAAAGATTGAGATCTCTGTTCTGTTTGTTCATTCATTTCTATTATCAGCCGCTGTTTGTCCCTACAGCCGTGATGTTGTTTACCCGTCACCACGGAGAGGCACAGGCAAGGATGAACCTGAAAAGTAAAGCGTTTTCAACCAAGCGAGTTGCAAGGTAATGTACAATAATGTCGTCCTTTATTGTATGTTTTACAAAAAGTTCACGCGGGAGTTTTCTAGCCCGCGGTTGGCACGGTGCCTTTGTTCGCAGAATCATAAAACCGCATCGGGTCTTTGTTGGATTAAGTACTGAGTCTGAAAGCTTCAGAGGACAGCTCACCGGTGATGATGAAAGTGGTTTTGTGCTCGCTCCTACCTCACTGTGCTTGAGCGTCTCGATAAATCTGATGTCTGAGTACGCTGTTGCCCTTGGCCATTATACTATACCCCTTTGAAATGAGGCGAAGTTTGAAAAGCGAAAGAAAATGGAGGCATGGAGAGGAGTTGGTCCTTTAATTAGTGCTTTCACTGAACTCCTCAATGCCGAATCGGTTTTCTCGCTCTTACCGCTTTAGTGAGACAAAAAAGATAATTCAGACACATGCTTTTCAGATACTTGTGTGCCATCACTCTGCTAGCCTTCGTGCATTTTCTATGTAAAATCCCCGAGCTCTAATTATTGTTTCAGAGTGAGTCCTCTGTTGTCTTCTGCCAGTGGAATTATTTCCTCCTTGTTGTTCCTGCCACTCCAATCGGAGACCCTTCATGACAAAGACACTTGCTTTTGGTGCAGCCGTATATATGCCTACAACACTGGGAAGGAAGAACAATTTTATTGTTATTTTTTTAGGCGTTATCCTGGCTAAACTCAGGAGGCAATTTTCACTTCCCTCGTTGTGGCTTGGCGAGGTTTCAAAGGCGTTTTTTTTCTGGACAGGCTTAATCTGTTGAGAGCGGCGCTCCTCTGTGAGATGACAGGCAGTTTCCTCGCTCAGACACAAACGCAGCAACCATGGTGTTGGAGTGCAGCGAGATCTCGTGAAATTAAAACACCACAACATATTTAGTCAAAGTGAGCCTTGCCTTGCAAAGCGCTATCCGGTTACTGTCAGCATGTTGACTTTGTCTAGTGTGGCACGTCTGAGGTGTTGTTATTGGTATGTGCTCTAAAGAGGCGGTATTATGTGTTTTCCAGGCACATGGTGCCATTTTATAGAACAATCAAGTAACTATGTTAACTTCAGCTGTTATAGAAATGCTGTATGACTTAAACAAAATTTGACTTTGTAATTTAACACCTTGAAATTGGGCTTCTGTCTCTTTGAAAACTCCGGCTCTTTCTGAAACTCTGCTTTCAGGACGTCATCACATCATGGCTCCTCTATTAACAATGTTTTTACCAAAGTTTCACTGAGAAGAAGCTCTTCAATGAGCTCAGCAGTTGTGCCGTTCCACCAGGTGTTTGCTAATTGCTGCTGGCTAGTCTGAAGGTGCTGAGTGGGGAAGTCGCAAATGAGGGCTCAGAGGAGGAGCTTCGACGTCGAAGGCGGGGCTAGGTCTGCCCATTCGTTTCGTACAGCTGGATGATTGCCGTGGAGATTAAAGGATTCCTCAAGGATGCGTGAAAGAATCACGAGGTTTTGATGAGGGAATAACATTGTATAACGTGCTGTGAAGCTCAAAAACGTTGGTTTTATGTAATTCTGCACCGAGTCTGAAGGAGTTGAACGTGACGACTTCCTGAAGGCGGAGTTTCAGAGAGAGTAGGAGGTTTTTAAACAGACAAAAGCCAGATTTCAAGGCGCTAAATTATGAAGTCAAATTTCTTTCAACCATATTTGATATATATATGTGTATATAATTCACAGTTACTTGATTGTGCCATAAAATGCCAGTAAGTGCCTAAAAAATACAAAGTACTGCCCCATTAGTCATTTTCATCATGAACACTGATTTCTAATGCACTGATAAACTGTAACCTAGTTCTTTAAGACCAGCTGTTTCCACATACGATTTCAGTCGCCCTTATATATATTAAGGTCGACAGGTGAAACTCGGGCTCTCAGTGTTTATCATCATCAAAGATGAAACTGAGACATTTTTCTATTTAGCAGAAAGGAAGGGATGGGGGACTCAGCTCCTGCACGAAGAGCAGGTATTCCCTTTCACAATGTGCTTTTGTGCACAATTCCTTCAATTTTGCAGCCCGTCTCCTCCAAACAGTGGGCCTCCTCCTTGTTCATTTCCTCATAATAATGTCTTTGTCAAATAACAGCTGGGCCTGCCAGGATGTCCACAAATCGAAACCGCTGACTCGCAGACACACTTTCAGCACATGAATAAAAATCATGAGAGGAAAGTAAATAAGGACGGTAGGAGGAGGGCGGATTGGCATTCCCCTTGTGGCTCTCCATTGTCACATCCACATCTGGACCTGGTTAGAGCACAAGGCCTGTGTGACGCCTGTCACTCGTTGGGAAGTCGGCAAAGATTTGACTCATGGGGATAGAGAGCTGGGAGGAAAGTTTCTTACACACACAAGCGCACGCATGCGCACACGCGCGTAGACTCAATGAATCAGAACGTGCGTGACGAGGCTCCTTTGTCCGATCAAAAGTGCCTTTTTTAATAGTCAAAACTCTTAAGCAGGTATTATCCACACCTTTCATCAAATCCACGTTTCTGTATCAAAATGTTTTTATTGGTCCGCTGTAATCCAATCTTAAATGTTAAGTTTTCATCGGCTGAAAGCAGAAAGTTGTCGTGGTTAATAGAAATAAAACCTTGAAAGCGTCAGGCTGTGTGGAATTAATCTACATAACGCATTTCACTCAGAGAAGAGCTGTTGAAATAAATTAACTTTTCAAAAATATTCTGATTCATCGAAAAGAACTTGTACTCGCTCTGAGCTCAAGTCTATTTTTAGGTCTTTCCTTAAAGGAAGTTGTTTACTACACGCGAGCGGTGAAATGAAACTGTTTAAATCTGAACAAGATTCATTCGAAAAAGACCCTAAATGCTTTTATCGCCTTGTTTCTTTGGTTGCTTTTAGTCAAATTTTGGGGGGGATTTATGGAAACTTTATATGGTTTAGTTTTTAAACCCATAGATTTTGAGCCAGGTTCACTTTAGGTGCTATGAACCTGTACCTACATAAAGCCGTTGAATGGTGCCTGTTTTTTTTCTATTTTTGTCTATTTAATCTTCAGTAAAAAAATTTCTGGTTCACTGTATCACAGTCAATGCTGCCATACAGGTAGAGGTTCCCAGCTGAAAGGAGACAGACATCAATAAAAACTTTGTCAGAACCTAATTTGCAAAATTGACCATGAGTAAAAAGAAACAAAAGAAGGAAACATTCAATCTGTTTGGAAATATGAAATATGAGCTTTCATTTCTCAATAACTTTCAGTGCAGCTGGTAGGGACATTAGTGTGAAGACTAGCAGTTTTGAAAATGTTACTTTCACCTGATCTAGCTTATCGTTTTAGTAACTCATGTCGAAGCTTCAGTAAAAAGCCGTTTAGTTGCTCTTGTCACTAAATTTGGTATTTAGTTAGTCACAGGCATATTAGCAGCGAAGCTAACTAGCTGTGGACGTTCAGACGCTGTCCCCTGAGTTGCCATGAATGTTCAGTGACTGCGTTCACCAAACGTCAAAGTGAAACACCATTAAACAGTTTCCATAAGCGCCTGTGTATGTTCAGTGAACATCTACCAAATGTCCATCCAATATTCAGTGAACTTTCATAGTTAACGTTTGCCAAATGTCAAAGTGAAACAACATTAAACGGTTAACCAAACAATGTCTGCAGATGTTCAGCGAACATCTCGAAACTGTCCATCCAACATTCAGTGGATGTTCGTTGACAATACTTGCTGAATGTTTAACGGTGTTTCATCCTGGCGCTCGCCAAACGTCAACATTAAAGACTCCAGTGACTAAAGTAATTATATATGATATGTAATGCATTGGATAAGAGGCGTAATGAGTAAAGATTTTACTAGAAAAATGTAAATGGTACAGAGTGTTACATCATGTGAGTGTACAAAATATTGAGAAATACATTACCACGTCACGATGCTATAGTTACCCTGGTCAAAAAGTGCAAGACTTAGCAAATCCCACAAGTTTTCCTAGTGTGGAGTGTGAGGTTATACTAAGATCTAATTTTTGGTTTTAACTACATTAGCTTGAAAGCTAAGTGCTAGCATGTTGCTCCTAGCCAGTTCACATTTACTCATTTTTTTGGCACCATGCTCAGCATCTCTGAGAAGTCACCCATAAGTTCGCGTTTTAATGAAAAGGGCCATTTCAAAATAAAAATAGAAATGCAGCCTTGCATGTAGCTAACAAATCTGTTAGCTACAAGTACAACAGTTGCTCTTTGTCCCAGTTTTTCGTTTTATTGTTTCTGTCATTCAAACAGAGGCTAATGAAAACGAAGAACAGAGAGGCCGGCAGAACCCTGGCTGTCAGTGTTTCTTTTTGTTGAGCCTGTTAAAATAAAGAATTATGACTTTGAGCAGACACAAAGAATTTGAATGCTTGTGAGCGTGTATTAAGGGATGGAGGAGGTTAGCGGAGTAGCGCCGCTTTCAAAGATCAGACTTGGTTCCCTGTCATTACCGTTGCTCTCAGAGCTCATTTTAGTTTAACCCCTCCAGTTAAAGAAAGGTAACCCAACCTTCCACATGCACTTTAGGACAACCTCAGCCAGCGGCTTAAAGTAGCAGACGGCTATGTAAGACGCATAGCGAGGCTGGGTCGACAGCACTGAAACAATAGCGCCTCTGTGCCCCAGCACCCCTCTGGATCACATTTCCTCCGAGGCCCATATCGAAATGTGCCGGGGGCCCCCGTTGCTGATCTAGCAAGCGGCCGGAGAAAGCCACACAGAGGGGAGGGTGCCATATGTCAATAGTGATTAGGATCACGATCACAACTGTTGCCGGTGTGGGGCACAAAGGAAAAGCGAGTCATCAGGGTGGAAGGAGGGGGTGTGGAGGGAAGCGTCGTGCCCTCCTGAACTTTACTGTCTGGTTGCCGGCGATGAGGAATGTCTCCTGGACTCCTTTAAGATAAATAACTAATGCACGCTGTTGTACATTTAAAAATAAAAGAAATGAAGCTCTGGCATCCTTTGAAAGTCTTCATGAAAGCTTTGGCTTTCATCCTATCGTGATGTGTGGCGCAACAGTGACGAGAAGCAGAGAATCCCCCCGAGTAAATATTTTGTCTACAAGGAGAAGTGACAAGAAGAGGAGATGTCGATATCATTCTGCTTTTACGCAAGAGTGAGAAAAAGAAATATGCTTTCATTTAATGAAGGAGATCACCACTGAGTTGAGTCCTAACCCTGTTTCTGTTACAGCTCTCTATGCGATGAGGACCCATCGCCATGTGCACAAACCTTCGGAAGTCAAAGTCGATAGAGGAGTATTGGGACTGCAGGATGGCCCAGAGACCCCAGAAGAAGTTGGATGCCTGGTGGAAGAGAAAGAGAAATAAGTTGCGGAAAACACAAATATCTCAATAAAAACAATTGACCAAACAAATTGTTGGTCAGGCTTCGGCCTCGCTAACGTTTTCGTGGCTCTATCGCGATTCTTCACTCAATAACCACGTCCCAGACACTGACTCTCCGACCGGTCTTGAGTAGAGGAGGTGTTTAAATCAGCGAATCAACCGCTGCAGTGTTCAGGTGATCAATAATCACAAAATAAACGCCAAGCCTGAAAATTCAATACAGTAACCGATTGAATGTTCTTTTTTTGTGTGGGAAATGTTTGTTTTTACTTTGGGGTTTGCATCCTGACACGATGGCGGAGCAGTTGTCAGTCAGTTGCTGTGGCAACGGGTCTATGTATAGCATAGCCAACAAAACAGAGTGAAAACAGAACAATTTGACTGGTTCTGGGATTTTGTTCAACTGTTTTCCCTTTCCTGTGACGCACTGCGATAAACGAATAATACCTTCATCTCCAGGTTTCATTCTGTTAATGGAATCGTTTTACGGCGGCACCAGCCGATGTGCCCAACAGTGTCGTACACATCCGTGAAATTTCCGGGTGTAAACAATAACGTACGATGGGTTCGTTGTCTCTGCAGAGATTCAAATCGTCTTCAAGGAAAAGATGATTAAAAAAAATTTTAAAAATGAATCCCGTTAGAGCTCCCTTCCTCGGGTTGGTGGGAGCCAACGTGAGCGTCAGACTTGTGCGTCTTTCCTTAAACGGCCTCGAGGGAGGGGAAAAAAACGTACGTGGAGACTCTGAACTCACTTTAAGGAAGTAGAGAGTGTGAAACTGAAGCTTATTTTTGCAGCGCTGTAGTTTAATGTTTGGTTACAGCTCCTCGTGCCATGCTGCAAGGGCTGTAAAAACACACTGTGTGACCTCCAGTTGTCGGGTTGTAACCGCTTCCAAAACTGCTGCCGCTGCATGCCAGTTGCGCGCCGCTCAGTCAGAATGACAAACCCTCAGTATTGAATAGTTCCCTCCTTAATGGCCTTGCTCACTTAGGCTTGCGGACTTCCATGCCTCCATAAATTTCTGTTGTTCTCCACCCTTATTGTAAATCTTCATGGTAAGGCCACTAATGGCACGTCCTAATAAGATCCAGACGGGGGCCTCTGTTCTGCGGCCCAATGATATAATCACATTTTTATTTGATAATCAAATAAAGGGTGGAATGAAATGCTTGTGGAGCATTGTGTGGTTTCCCTTGGCTTCTCCCACACCCCTGCCAAACCTGGCAGATTTTCGTCTCTAATCTCCGTCCTTAGTTGGGGGAAAAAAAGACTGAGCGCGCTTCCACTATGATTAGTAACTGCTCTTCATTAGGAGAAGCGTTAATCTAACGCCGAGCGGAGGGGAGTCGAAGGAGACAGAGAGAGAGAGAGAGGGGGAAAAAAGGACGACAAAGACGTGAGGAAAGAGCGACACCACGGAGCGGCGGGCCTGAGCTGCGACGACGCAGGAGCGGCAGACGAAGGGCGGTGGGGGGGAGGGATCCCTGCGGAGGGAGAGGACGAGCTGCCTCTTCGCTGGAGGTGAACACGGGAAGCTTCGCTCTTTTTACATCTTTGGCAATCGGCCACACAGCTTCTCCCACTGGATGATATCGGCTGAGGCTTTGCTGTTGAATCAATTCGGTTCAGCTCGATTTTTTATTTTTTTTTCCAGCCAGTGTTGCAGCTTTGCGCTGTTTGGCTTTTTAGTCAGTTTGACAAATGAGGTCAAACTAACAGAGCTAAACCGTTTGGAGAAAAGAAAAAAAAAGAGCCGTGTAGCCATTTTGTATGTTTTTGTTTCGGTGTTTGTTGTTTTTTGGTAGGTGCTATATGAACACATTTTACTGACTTTACTTACTCACATAAAGTGTCTTGCAAAAGCATTCACATCCCTTGAATTTTCACATGTTGTGATTTTAATTTAATTTAAATAAATGTGTTTTTATCCAGATTTCCAGGTACAACATAAAATAGAGCATAACTGTGGAGTGTGGTTTACTTTTTTTTTTCTTTTAACAAACAATCTGTAAAAACAGTTGTCCTGGTTTTATTTAGGGGTGTTGGAGCAAAAGGGGCTGAATATAGATTGATGTCATTTGTATTTACACTCGTTTATTTAAAAGAATAGACAAATATTACTTGCTCCATTTGTTGCATAATCTTCCTCAGCTTTTACAGCATTTCAGACATTTGAGAACAAAACTTTGACACGGAACCAGCTCTGAAACACATCGGGTTCAAAAGTCACAAAACACAAAGATGCTAAAATTAGGTCCCAATTTGCAGAGCATGGTGTCGAGGCATTTTGCTTGTTTGGTTTTCATCTAACCCTACTACTCCAGGAGATAAATGGTGTCTTTACACTGCAGTTTCTTAATTTTGCTACTTTTATTCTATTTTCCAAACTATTTTTTACCCAGGTCCAGTTCAACCCAACTAATAAAACTGGGAGTTGATTGAACAGGCTATTAAATGATCCTTTGTTTTATTTTAGTGTGCAGTCAGTCAGTATATTAAAAATCAAAATACTGACATATCAAATACATTAAAAAATACTGACGTGGCAAAGCAAAGATAAAGCTTAATGTACATCAAATGTTAAAATGTAAAAGGCGATCACAATTGTTTTGGATTTTTTTTAGTAGATGGACGAAAGAAAAGAAGTCAAATGTTTTTTCAACGCTCTTTTTTTTTTTTTTTCATACTTATCCAGGAAAACAATTTCCAGCCTTTTCAAAACCCTGAATGATTCTGGTTTGCACGGCAATGTCATATAATTAGTTATATTACATCATATTTGCTGGATACATGTGCAAAACATCGTAACCCTCCAAAGTGCAGCTTCTGAATAAAGAAAGACTATATTAAGGAACTGTAATCATTCACCAGTTAGTTGCATTGATAGATTGTTTAAATAAAAAAAATATATCATTAACAGTTAAATTAATAAAAATATTGAAATTGTAATTACTTCCCCTAAATTTCATAACTGAGAAGCCAGTGAATATTTCTTTTGAAATTTACGATTCAAATATTCCATGAGTGGAGGCGAGTGAGAATGGACAGATCGCTCCCCGTCCGTACACGTTACGTAACCCAAAGCGTCAAATGCTAAATATTAATCAAACGCTTGCAGCATAAAATGGGCCGAGGTTCCCTGTTTGAATGCAGCAGGCTCGGCATCAGTCATCCTGACACACGGAGCGTCCAAACGAGTGCAGTTGGAAACTTGGCTTGTTACGTGTCAGTGAACAATTTCTCTCTCATCTCCCCAGTCAGAAAAAAAAATAAAAAACACACAAAAAAAACCCTCCTTGGTCTGTCACCGAAAATCTGAATTCAATCAACAAGACGTTATCACTTCTCCCACTCCATTCCAGGCCGTATTTCACCCCAACCCCCTGCTTTTTTCCCCCTAATTTCTCCCTCTCTGTTTTTTTTTTATTTTTTTGGCCAAAGCATGGGTTATTTTAAAAAGTAATATGCTTCCTCATCACATCTGGGCTATTTCAAGAGAAATTCACACCGACCCTCCATCCCCTCCCCCCGCCTCTAAATTGCTCGGACAATTCTGCATATTGTGTTGGAGCTGTGGAAGCACTTTCAGACAGATAGCTCAGCACCACTTGAGCCACCAAAGAATGAAAATTGTGGTCATAAGAAAAATAATTTTGGTTGCCGTCTTTCATTTTTTCCCCCTGCGGTAGCTTCTAATCAACTCGGACGGAGTCCATCATACTTTGAGCGGCGGTGGCTTAAACAGGATGGTTTGGTTTTGCTTTTGGGGGGGTTGGAGGCTGGGGGGCGGGGGGTTGTTGCTGGAAAAGTAAATTATCAGAACGCGGCGGTGAGGTGATGCCCACTCCGTCATCTCGGAGGTCTGCGCACATCTGGATGCTGCTGAAATGAGAGCACTAATCTCATAATGTGTTTTTTTTCCCCCTCCTTTTCTTTGTGTGAATTTGCCCAGAACTATTAACTAAACAGAAGGAAAGGAAAACTTAAACAAAAACAAAAAAACAGAAGAAAACTTTTTAAGTTTCTCCAAAGTGGCTCACAACGTGCTTATGTTATAATGCTGACTTACAAGAGAGAATTTGCAGACTTGAACGTAGAGCTTCGTGACTTCTTCGTCGGTCGCCGTGACGTTGCGGCCCGTGCTGCGTTTGTAGCTCTCCAGGTAGGCGGTCAGCCAGTCCCTCTGCAGCTCCCGGCTCGGGTACAGGCTGTAGTCGACGTCAGTCACACCTTTGGCCACAACACACACACACACACAACGAGTTACTGTCAGCTTAATTAGAAGGTTTTCAGACTTCCAACGGAGCCTTTTTACTTTGAAATAGAAAACCTTTTCTTTAGAGGTTAAAAATGACATTTACTTCATGTTATGTGTGAAAGACAACTGGATATAGTCTTTAAATAATTTGTCATACATAAAGTCACCATACAGGCAGTATCTATTTGTACTTAGCAAACAGTTGACCAGAAGTTGTCCAATTCAGAGAGCAATCTGTGAACAGATGTTGCAAAAAATACTTTCACGTTTTTTCTCATCTTTTCTTTAGATGCAGTACATCTGGATTCAGTGGCGACACCAAGTGGGGGACAAGGGAGTCGTTGACCACTCATAAAAAAATGACACACACACACAAACATCTATATATATATATATATATATATATATATATAATATATATATATATATATATATATGTTTGTATATATGTTTGTTTGTGTGCGTGTGTGTATTTTTTTAACCCTAGTCACCCATTGGCCAGGGTTAATAAACCTCATGTAATGGCTATATTAGGCACTTTTCCATTAAACATAACGTTGCGCAAATTAGAATTACGAGATAAACTGAATTAATGGAAATGCTGCAATTTCAAGAAAAGGTTTTTGTGCTACGATGACATGGCTTTTCACAACACGTGTCATGTGATCAACAACCAGATGTTGCTACTGCCGAAGACGGCAGGAAGTGGTAGGAGGACAATGGTTTGTGTTCTGTTTTTCTGACAATGTGCAGCTGGCTCCATCAGAGCTCCCACAACATCACACAGTTCATAAAAAATTTTAACGTGTCGAAAGTTGTACCTGTTTCCTAAACAAACGACAGAAACAGATGGGAAACTATCTCACACGTCACATACTGTACGTATGAGTCGTGTTGCTGCGTCAGTGACAGAGTGGAGTTATTGTGTCAATGTGTGGAAAACCCACTCTGACCTACCAGCAAACTCATTGAAGTGATTCCCGATGTCGAAGGCCTGGTAGTTGTAGTCCGCATACTCATAGTCTATGAATTTCACCGACCCTGATGGTGGGGAGGAAAGGGTTACAGTGACTACCTTCAACCAAATGGGTGAAAGTGGCAGCGAGTCTCTTCTGAGCCACTTTTCAGATATTGTGACAACTGAAAAACTAGAAAGATTGCTACAAAAATTTGATTCTGGAGGATAAAATCCATTGGATTGGATTTGATGGGTTTGTGTGCGTGTGTGATTTTTGACGCTGGAAGGGTTAGTCACATCATCAACATCAACAGACATATCACTTCTCATGCTACCTCACCTGTGGGTCTCCTCACCTTCTTGACAGTCGTAGATGATGTTCTTTGTGAGCAGGTCGTTGTGGCAGAGGACGGTGGGCGAGTCCGTCTGGGACAGGTGTCTCTTCAGCGACTCCATCTCCTCCAACAGAACCTCGTAGCTCGGCACTTCTCGAAGAGGCAAGGAGCTACAACCAGATAAGTCACATGTTCTATGAAAATATGATAAACATACACAATTGAAAATAGAAAGAAAAAAAAGGTTTTATTGGCCCGACTGGCCTTTATTTCATAGTTAATTGACAGGAAAGTGGGTAATGAGAGAAGGGGAAGACATGCAGCAAATATCGCCAGGCCGGGAATTGAACCTGCGACGGCCGCGTCAAGGACTAAGGCCTACATATGTTATATTTATTTTAACAAAGACAAAACGTTTTTGAAAAAGGATTCTAAAGTTCATATTTGTTTTCTTTCAAAGAAAGCTGAGGTGATTTATTATTTTTGGTCAAATGTTACATTTGTTCCCCTGAGGTTTGAGTAGGATGTGACACAAAAGCCACTCCTCAAAATGGGAAAGACAGGGAAACAGTCAAGTAAGCTGGATGCAGAGGGCAGCGTCCTTTACAAATCTGCTATTAAAGCGCATTCCTCCGTCTCCAACGGCGAAACGAGGATTCGTTCATGCCGAGCTTACATGCAGCGGCTCGGCCAGACCGATGGCCTTCAACTTAAAAGCTGCGTCATATGAACTTCCTCTTCTGGTTTCCATGGCGAGGGGGTATGAGTTTGAAGAAATGACCCCGTCGTGCCTGGTGCTAGCTAGCATGTGCTTGTTTGAAATGAAAATCAACGCTTTCTTCTTTGTTTTCCAATTCTGACTTCCAATGATTCACTTCCTGAATGAATCATTTCATTTCTTCCCCCTGGTGGAAGAAATGAACAAATCTAAAAGTTCCTCGAGACAAAGCAGTTCAAAATACTTTGCATCCTAATAACATCACCAATTATGAAAGAAGCAACAAACTTTACGGTTTGTCAAATGCGATCATCGAAATCATCAAGCAATATGCTTGATGATTATATTGCTGTCGAGTAAAGTGAACTCGACAGAATATTTTCATTAAGATTTTACTGCTTAACCTGAACCCGGCCTAAATTTTGGGTCGGGTTCGGGCCATAAATCTGAAATGATCAAGCAAATGTAGGTCACAAACATTGATGAATGTTCCAGTTATTATGAGTAGCAGGCAGATCTAAACAGGTGGGTTTTCAGCCTTGATTTAACTGAAGTCGATGTTGCAGCAGTTTTGCAGTTTTCTGGAAGTTTGTTCCAGATTGCGCTCGCATAAAAGAAATGAATGCAGCTTCTCCATGTTTGGCTCTGAGCGGTCTGGAAACGGTCTGACAACAGGCCTTTACTGTACTTTGGTCGAAGCCCAAACGCGTTCACATGTTCTTAGTTCCCAGAGACAAACATAAACTGGCTAAAATCTGTAATGAAAACTGGATATATGAAGATTATGAACATCTCCGATGAAAATTCTCAGAAGAATTTGTGGAATGGTGTTGAACCGTCCAGAGGTGAGAAACCGGTGGAAAATCGGACCGCAGCCCTGACGTCTCCGACCCTTCACTTAAACAACGTGTTTGTAAACCAGCACGACTCGGCAAGAGGTCAAACATCCCGTCTCCTTCACTGCAGCGTCTTAAAGCCGATTCGTTTTTGCTCGCCGTCCCTCTGTCTGCCTGGACAAGACGGAGCTGCTGGCCGTGTTATTTAAACACTACCTATTTATCCGAAGGGGGACAAACAGACTCTTGCCGTATTATACACACTTAGGGACGTGATTTAGTGCGGCCTGCGAGGAACGCAATAAAAGCGAAAAGAGCCTCACTTTGTTTATGATGCTGACACTGAGGTTCTGTTTTTCTTTTTTTTTTTATACAAATCCACCTACACATACTGAATAAGTCCTGTTAGACAGAGATGAAGGAAATGTCAGAACGATATTGTGTTGAGATCAGTTGTAATAGTTCAGTTTTATTTGGTTGTGACTTTATGTTCGACTTATCCAGTTAGATTTTAGGGGATTTGCTAGTTCTAGTTAGTATTAGTCAAGCACTGTTTTGTTTCAGTCACGTTTTCATGAGTTTTTGTAGTTTGTGTTTTCATGCTGCATTTCTAGGTGCAGAATTCAAAAAGGTCAAAGTATTGAATTGTGATTTTATGTTTACATTCATGGGGGTCATGAATACTCAACAGAAGAAGCGTTTTTAGAAAATTCTGACTCTGGTGTTTCCTCACAATTTTGTTGCCTTTTTTATATCAGGAGGAACTCAAGAAAGAAAAACAACGATTTCACATCAGTGCACTTGTAGGCCGGTAGGTTTTATAAACACACAGTATCGTTTCAGTTACAGTTTACAGTTCAGTTATTACCATTTTTATTAATTTCATTTTTTTGTCATGTTGTTTTAGTTAAAGTAGCACAACGTGACAAAACTGTCGTCATGTCGTGACAATACAAAACGAGACAATCTGTGAAAAGGAGAATAGGCAGCCTCCTCAGCTTCTCCCAGCCCTAACTAGAAACAACCAATCAGAGCCAGGAGGAGGGTCTTAGTGCTGTCAATCACCCTGTGCTATGCTGCAGCCTTCATGGCCTCTTTGTGAATGCTAAGGCTAGTCAGAATAGCCACCGATGATGGTGGATAAGTTACTTTTGCACCATTAGCACATTGAGCAGCGAGTAAGCGAAGTGATTGACAGCACTAAGATCCACCTCCTGGCCCTGATTGGTTGTTTTTGATTCATTTTTTTCAGACAGCAACAGAATCTCAGGAAATAGGTTCAAGAGATTGATCCATTGACATATTATCTCTCATATCAAACTGTCATGACATCATTATAGTTTCAACAAATAGGTAAAAAAACGAGACTATACACACGCACGCACGCACACACACACACACACACACACACACACACATATATAAATAAATAAAATGAGTTACTGCAGCTTTAAGTATAACAACCTTGGTTCAGATATCAGTTTTAATTCCTCCAAAGGCTGCAAAGAAAAGTTCAAAGCTGACTCTATATTGATCAAAATCTTCTTCCTTTTTATTAGCTCCAAGTTCAGAATCGAGGGCTTAATCACATTTACTTGCCTATAAAATTTGACTTTGTGAGAACCGTGCCCCCTCCCCACGACACGCACAATTCATCCATATCCTCTCTAATATGAATTGAATAGTGAATCACCACTGATTCCTTTTCAACTCATCCCACGCATCAAACCAACGCAACTTTTTTTTCTTTTTTTTTTGTCGCGTGAGAGCCCACGAACGGTCGGATTGGTGGGGGAAAAAAAGAAAAGGAAAAAAAAAAACCTAAAAAAAACAAAATGAAAAGACCCGCGTCGACTTTTTAAATGGGCGAGACCTGACGCCTTGCCATCAGATCTTTTTCCTCTCCTTTTCTCTGCTCATGAAACGCCGAGCGCGTCGAGTGCGTTCGCCTCCTGCTCCCTGTCAAGCCTCTGTAAAGTAATTAGAGGAATTTCCTCCTCTGGCACTTCATTATGGCTGCGTCTTATTTACATACGATTTCAAACAGAAGCCATGAACTGCGGATTTTTTGTTAATTTTTTTTCGCTCTTTTTTTGCGGCTTCCATGAGGAGTACAGGAGCACAAATGGTCCACCCAGCAGGGGGGCCCTTTGGGGAGAAAAAGAGGTTGCACTCATGCTTTCCATCGCTCTTCTTTCTTTGCTCTCTCTTTCTTTCTCTCTCTCGGAACCATGCAGCTGCTGCAGCCTCTTTCTCTCTCTTCCTCCTCCTCCTCTTCCTCCCTCTCTTCACACAGCGGGTGGCTTGAGAGCCGAAGACCTCCTCTGCAGGTGCAGCCTCTTCCTGCAGCTCCCTCTGCCTTTTACCGACTCATCTCAAGACCACATTCATATCTGCACTTGCATACACTCTCGAGTACCGAAAGTTTCTCTGATGCAAATTTTAAGAACCTTTTTTTTTTCCCCCCCCCAAACCCCCTCGCTGTGTTTCGGCCTCTGTCTCGTATCTTCGTCTTTGAAGAGGCCAGTGATTATCCAAACAGGCGCGCTCTGGTTTTAAATGCAAGCGATCCTACATAAATAATACCTAATTTTCTTAAATCTTTTTTTTTTTTTTTTTTTTTTTTTGCTGTAAGTCCCCCAGCCCCTCCCCGCCGCCCCAGCAGTCCTCGGGTTTATGTCCTCATCATTTCTCGTTTTTCAGATCGTTTGAACGTCTCTGCTGGCGAGCGGCACTCGCCAGCAGAGACGTGTGTGAAGCCATGGAAATGTGTCACGGCACAGCACCATCTATTGGGCCTCGACGTGTGGTGCAGCTCACACTCTCACTACCCTTTCTGCAGGGCGTTCAAGCTGCAGAGTTTTGTTTTGATGATGTGCAACATACGGAAAAGAAACTGGAGAAAAACATTAAAGTTTTTAATCGGAGGAGACTAAATAAGTATTAGATATAACCAAGTTCGCAAAAACTATCTACTAGTTTTGGAATCCAAAAGAATCCAAACATCAAACTTCTTCATATTTTGCCATATGACAACCTCAAATATGAATGCATTATTACAATAAGTTGGCCGAAAGATAAATCGTCCCAGAAGATAAATGATAGTATCATTGGCATCATAACGCAAGAACACATTCTCAAAGATCAATAAACTTTAAAATCCAATGTTGAGAGGAGTGCTGGTGGAAATGTTAAATAGTCAAAATAAATAAACACCAGAAATAACAAATTAAATTAATTATGAACAACAACAAAAAAATCGTCCTTCAAAAATTAAAGGGCTAGTTCAGACCGGAGCACCAGACTGAAGATTTTTATCATTCTGTTTTTGGTACAGAGAGAAAAGAGAAAACCAGTGTGCAAATGGAAATTATTGAGTTTGTTTTAATTTATTATGCGACTAATTGATTTATTGTGACAAGTTTACGCAATGTATTGTGATTTTATGCAACAGAGTCCTGCAAAGTGAAAGCACAATCGAACTCTGTTTAATTAAGAGTAAAAAAATCTTAAACTTATGGTCACAATTTGCTGTGATTACAGCAGTGGTGCCCCAAAGAAAAACTTTGGCCACCACAAAAACTGGCCACAATTTTGGGCTAATTTTGGTTATGGAAAGCAATAGAGTAAATTTCTTTTCAATCAAGACATAAATGTAAAGCCTGATGTACAAATAAATAATCTTGGGGGTTTGTCTCTGTCAGCTTTGCTGTTTTACCTCAGCCTGGTTGTTGTCTTCTTATGCAATTATCATCTCCCTTCAGTGCTCTGTCTGGGATTTCTCCCATTGACATAGATTTTTCTGGTTTAATTTAAATCGGGACAAATCGGCGATCAGAGGAAGAAGTTGTAAATAATGATGCTGATTTTCTGTGCTGTTTTAGAACAGTCTGCCTGTAGTTTTAGCAACAGCAGGGGAGGAAGTGGACAAAGTTGTTCAGTTCGAGTTGGCAAAACATTGAGTCGAAGATTGTCGAAGATGTTGTGACCCTACTCCCCATGAGGTTGTTTGCAGCTCACGCAATTTCCGGTAAGCTTCATTGAAATGGCGCATTGTCATGGCAAAACGTTAGCGGTTGTGTAAAATTGAAAACTTCAGGAAGCGCCTTCAGGAAGCCATCGTTTCTGAATAGCGAAGAGTCCAGAATCTCTGTACAAGCAAAGTGCTTACATTCTGTCATAGACTTGGTGTTTGTAACTCTGAATTCTCTGATGGCACTTTATTGGATGTTTTTTTTAGTGTCAGTAGACTGAAAACTACAGCTATAAACTTAATTGAGTTGGTTTTTCCTTAAATTGTCAGCAATAAAATACATTGCACTTTATAGTAGAACAGCTCAATGGTTGTATTACCACAACCAGACTAGGGTAAACTACCTTACCCACTTTCTAAGAAGAGCCAGGCCCTCCCAGTGTTCGTTTGCATGGACTTCTGGCCCCCTTGCTGAAAACACAAACAAGGTTGAACGTTTGACCGATAAGGGAGAGCTGAGCAGGAAGCTCATGGCAGGGTGTCTGTTTCTTTGTAGTGTCTGGAGGGCCTCCCATGACCTCTGTCAGAGATAATGCAAAGCCACTGCCATTACGGGCCACTCCCCCGCTTCAGCTGTTTGACCAATTCTGGCTCAGAAAAATGAAAAACTGGAGGACAGAAAAAGGGGGGGAAACCCTCCCCTCTACCCCCGACAACAGTTGATTGGAAACCTGTCAGCAGGTCTGAATATGTGAGAACGCGATGAAGGAATAGAGTACTCCTCAAAGATAAAAGCTGAGACTGGTTTTTATCAAAGAACTGATTGGAAAGAAACGGCGACTGAGGCAGGTTGTTGTTTAAAACACACCGGCCTCGTTTAGTCCGATTGAATCAAACTCTAGTTTGTCTGATTCTGAACAAAAAAAGGTGAAATGTGGTCTGCCCAGAAACCCAAGCCTGGGGTTGGTAGAAGGTCATGGCCTTCCTAGACAATTGAGATTCACTCAAATCTTGCTTCATGGCACAGTCTTTGCTTTTTTCCGTTCAACCAGGACAATCAGTGAACAGAGGGAGAAATTGTGAACGACGAAGTGGATTTTCTGCATTGCCTCAAGAATTGTGGTCTGCCTGCAGTTTTAACAATGGCAGCGGAGGGAATCAATGAAGCTGTCTAGTTCATATGCTTCCATATGCTTCATGCTTCCAAGTATTGATTTAGCAATTACAGCAGTCTTATTTGACTTGACATTTCTTGTTTTCCCAATAGAGGATAGTTGCTTACAATGCAGGAAACTTCAGGTAAGCTTCATAGCGTCAAACTGGAGCATTACGTTCGTCACAACAACAAACAAAATTGGGTAACGGTGACGTTTCACAATAGCAGAGATTGTAGAGACTTATTGTGAAGTAAGGTGTACAATTAGGGGCTGGTTTGTACCAGGCTAGGTTGAAAAGCAGGAAATGGACTACAGCGCAGAGCATTCTGGGTAAATACAGCACTAGCTTAAGAAATGGATCATGGTCTTTTACCAAAGACAAAAGAAAATCTGCCACCTCTAAAGTCTGACGCCACACCAGTTCTGTTTTTGTGAAGACGGAGATTGTGTCTTCTTCAAGTTCAGTGTCTTCATCAAAGGTTTTCATGTTGTTTCATTGGTGCAGCGCCGCCACAGGTGAGGAGGGTAATAGATTTTTCAAAGGGTTTGATTTGGTTGAAACAGCGCAACGTAAAAGCAAAACGCACCAGCTGAAAAGTGTAAAAGATGTGACGACTTTGGCTTCCAGTCGAACCGAGTTTACCGGACTAACAGGTGTGAAAACTCGCTTATACCTTTTCACTCCTGACTGAACAGCTGTGATTCACAGAGAAACCAAACAAAGATGAATCTACAACAGGAACGTTTTCTGTCCATCTCTGTATTTCATTTTGAAGGACTTTCAGTTTTGCTCTCAAGGCAAGTCAGCTGTCTGGTAAAGACCGAGCCATTTAAAACATGTCTGGAAATGTACAACCTTGGTGAATTTTCTTTGTAGCTTCAAGGGATGACCTCACTTTACATGTTGTACAGTTTGTTTTGATAGATCCTACAGCCACTCTTCCACAGTAACTTGAATATCAATGATCATGATGTGCTTTTTTTATGTTCAGGGTCATTTTTATGCGGCTCGCTTTTTATACCTTTTAGTGCACGCCTGCTCAGCTGGAGTCCTGGTGATGCTGCTCTCCGCCAGAGTCAGAAAATGAGACATCTTCGCCCAGAGCTGAGGCTCCGTCGGCTGGCCACGTTTTGGCTGGATCGAGTGGATTTTTCCCATCTCGGCTGCAATCAATCTGCAGAGAAAAGAGAAAAAAAAAAAAAAAGAAAACTTTTCTCAGATGACCCTGGCCGATGCTGTTATTGCACAAACAAGCATTATCGGAGCAGAAACACAACTCCCTTTCCATTTGGCGTTCTTATCTTGTTCTTCTTTTGAAAATAATGGGCCTCCTTGAATATGTGACCTCTCATCCACTTGGTTTTTTGTTCTTGAGCCATCTTAGCTGGGAGGACGCAAGGTTTTCTGGGTAAGCACCAGCGATGGATGTCTATTGTGGCCCTGGCTGTTCGGCCTTGCCTGGCTGAGTTCTGGCCTACTGTGTTGTGCTGTTAGTAATGGTGTCAGCCTGTGATGGACATAATGAATTAAACGAGCCAGGAATAAACGACATTGCTCAACATGACAAGTAAGAGAACCGCAAAACCAGCAAAAACTCCCTCAGGACGACTGAGAACTGAAAATATGTCAATTGTCAAGTCATATGGTAAACTGTTCCCATACAGTGTCTGTATCAATATTTATTTTTATATTGCTGCATCATTTTGTGATTTCATCTTTTTGCAAATGTTTATTTTCTACATTAAAAAAGACTTCAGTCTTACATTTGTGTGCCTAAAATGAAGGCCTTAAATCGTCTTAAAACGATTTTAAAAGTTGAACGTTGGCCTTGAATACGTCAATCACAGGTCTTCAGTTTTGTCATGGCAGAACTATTTAATCTTCTCTGTATCGATATATAAAGATTTTTTTGCCACATTGTTTTTTATAATTTCATCTCTTTGAAGATGCCCAATATTTAATATGATAAAATATAATATCTAATATAATAAAACAGCTGCCGGGGCATCTGGAAATGTCTCCTTTTGTCTTAAATCTCTTTCAAGCGAGCATTAAACGTCTTAAATGTGACTCGTGGAAACTTGCAGACATGCTGCTTTCTTTTAAATAACTATGCGTGTCAAGAATGTGGATGCAGATGAGCCACCAATCGTACCATATATATATATATATTTTTTAGTCTTAAATTGAATTCAAACGTGCATTAAAAAGCTCTTTAAAAAAAATCTTAAACTTGACTTGCTAAAACCAGCAAACACCCTGTTTTCTTTGAAATAATCTGTGTGTGGAGAGTTCAGCTGCAGTGACTGATTTCGCTGGGTGCCAGCAGAAACCTGTAGATGGACGGCTGCCGCAGCAGCTCGTCCTCCAGCACATTTCCTCGGACAAACTCGTAACAGATGCCGTTCTGGAAGCTGCAGTAGATCTCGGGCCCGCAGCCGTGCGCGTGGAAGACCTGGAACATCTCCACCTCTCGATCGCGATTCATGTAGAGCTCCGTCATTCTGCCGTAAAGTCGCACCAGCACGCAACCGGGCTCCTGGAGAGAGCCCACGTAGCAGCCAATCAGCTGGTTGGTAATGCCTTCTGTAAATGTCTGCGGGGGCAACAAGATTCAGGAAATTGACTTTTTATTAAATCTGTGCATCTAAAAATGATGATATTAATGGTCAGTCAACAATTGTTTGGTTACACAATGCTACTGTAATCTTAAATTTGAACTTTGACCAACAAGACACTTTAGCATGAGTCCTTTAAGAAAACTAGTTATAAAAGTCAAAAAGAAAGTCATGTGAAGCATAAATAATTTCAAATGATTTGGCTACTAACCCCCGAGTAGCTACAGATACATAAAACTAGACAAACACTGAGAAAAGAACAAATTTCCAAGACGAGTGAGAAATGTAACTTTCTAGCAAAGAGTCATCAGTAAGTTTAAACCAAACTTGTCAAAAAAAGGTAAGCAGAGGAATGGACACAGGTGTCCTCTTCACAGCACAGTGGTGTTCCAGGACAGTCTGTCCTGCCCTGTTTGTGTACACAAAGATACCGCATTGACCTCTGTTTGCCTCCTTGTTGTCATTCGGCAGATTCTCATTCTGCACCACGGTCCCTGAAGTATTTCTGAGCCTCTGAAGGGACACGAATACAACACAGTTTCTCATCTAGGTAGAGCGAACAATCATAGCTACCCTGACATCAGATCTATTATTCATGGTGAATGGAGGGAGGCCTGGTTTGGACATTTGTAATTGTGCTTTCTTTGTCCGCCGGACTTGAGTCTGCTGTCTTCTGTTTCGTCAGACTCACTGAAATTGATACTTGTCAAATTATGAGAGTACATTTGGAGAGGAGGATCAAAACGTCACACTGAGAAGTAGCCGTGAGAAATTTAACTGACTGTTGGACAGATCTGCCTTGTTGGGTGACTAAGAGAGTCAGGGGAGTTTGATTGTTGAGTCCATATGCAGTTTTGTATATGAGGGAGGGTTACAACCCTGACCTTAGGCTTGAAACAAGAACATGAGGAGTGATGCTATTATATGCCCACAGTTAAAGATGAGGGTAGGGATTCCACACAAAGTTTGTGGAATTTGGATCTATTAATGGGTGTGTCCAAATTCAGGGGTCAGATACTTTGAATGACCCTGCCTACCCAGTCGATGTAGACCAGGTCCTTCTTCAACTAAGAAGACCGGACAATCTAGCCATTTGAGTTTTTCCTGCTCTTGACATCTGCTCTTTCACGAGTGACAAAACTGTTGAGTTTCATCACTGACAAACTCACAGTTTGTGTTGAGTGATGACACACAACACAAACTGGTCAAACTGTAGCTTAAATTTTAGTGTACCCACATTAAAGCTGTACTCCTTTCCCTCTCTATTTCCCGCCTCCTCATCCCACAATGAATCTTGGGAAACAGTAGGCTATGAAGGATGCGTGAAACCTGCCCTTCAAATCTGGGAAGGGCGCGTTTGAGGGCAACAATTTCACCTTGAACTCAGACACACCGGCTGTTTTCCATCAGTGATCTTTAGCTTTCTCTGGAACGATTCACAATCAACTGTAAGGCAACTATGATGAGCTTGTCTTAAGTCGATAGCTTTTGTATAATAATTTTTTTTGTTTTGTTTTTTACATATTTCTTGAATCATTTATAGCATTTCTGTAACTATCCTGTAAGGAGTGTGTAAATCATTGCATCTGAAGTTGATTTACAGCATTGTGTTAAAATTCATCCTTCTCTTTCAGAAGGTAAACAAAATTATTGAACAAGAAAATAGCGACTAAAGAGGGAGCCAATTGAAAAAGCAGCTGGGACAGACTGTACACAGCCCATGCCAAAGCACAGGTGTGACAGCAGGAATCGTCTGACCTTACCCTGACAAGCACAATACATCATTAAAGAGACTTGTGCGATCTGAGCTTTGAAGGGAAACATCTACTCCTCTGTGTGCTTTCCAGGACCCGGTGTAGATTGAGAGGTCACACAGCCCATGTGCAGTCACCTAACAAACATAAACCCTATTTCTCTGAAAGATTGGACCTTGTGTTTGCACATGGGACCAGAATGAGGTTCTCTTGTCCTCAATGGATGCTTTGAAAACGCTCACACACACTCACACACCAAAACTTTCTAAATTCTCCCTTTGTTGTCCAGTTACCTTGGGTTTGCTCCAGACGTTTTTTCTGAACGGTGATTTCTGACAAGGTGTCAGGGAAAGTTAAGGCTTTTGTAAATTTAAAGATTTTGCCACCATACATGTGATTTGATTCCAAAGCACTTTGAATGCAAAACGTTACGATAAAAAGGTACAAATGTACACAACAAAAACCCAACCGAGACATTTGTAAATGGAACCGAGTCTTCCCGGAGGCATTTTGCATCATTTCTAGAGTCTGAAAGTGTGAATGCTAAGTTCTCAAACATTGTCAAACACGTAGAAGAAGACATGGCCACCTGAATGTTGTGAACAAGATGAGGGAGGAAACAGTGCTCAAAGGTTCAAAAGAGCAAATCATTCCTAATCATTCACTGTAGATCTATACAAAATTGATTAAAATCTACTCAAGTCCTGCGTTTTTATGGACCGAAACAGTTTGTGGTTAACTAGGCAAAATAGCAAGCAATACTCAACAACCTTATACCTGAAACCTATAGTGACTTCCTGAAGCGCAACATGTTGAGTTTTTAGTAGATTGTAACCCTTGGCAGGTATCAACAGTCAAATTTAGCACGCTAGTATTAGTTTCCATTGAACATGATGGCATTACACCATGTTAGCGGAACTGATATTTATGACTGGCACTTTAGGGTTAGCTCTACCATCTCTTTAGTTAGCGTTGCCTATCAATGACAAATTTACAAGCAAAATATTTAAAGAATTTTGTTTTTTAAAGACATGTAAAAGCTTTTCACTGACTTTTATTAGCAAATTGAACAAATGGAGTAGCACACATTGCATTCGCCCTTTTCAATAAACTTAAATCACTTTTAGAATATGCTGGCAATGCACTGTGTGCCGCTTTTTTCAAATAAGAGCGTCATCTCCTGTTTTCATTACATCACTTCCTGTCAGCCGTGCCTGAGCTTGGAGTTAACAAGTAAAAGACTGACCTCAACAATCACCCATGAAACCAGTGGAGACAGAATAAATTCGATCCATATGGTCGGTGGCGTACCTTCATCTGAATGTCCTGCGTCTTCCACTCAGGACGCAGTTCGCTCAGAAGGTCCAAGATTCCTCTCCGGGGTTCACGCTCGTCAACCGCAACGTCCAGATGGCGGAGCTGATCCCCAGAACCTCCGCGTTCCGGGTCCATTTCAGACAGAGAAAACAATCCCCTCAGTAACTTCTTCAGAACTTTTGCCCCCTCACCAGCTGGAACGTGTCCAGATACGGCACCTGATTAAAAGTTTGCCTGAGCCACTTTGGATATAGTTTTTCCAGTGTGCACTAAATGAACTCGGCATTTAACGCCTCTGCTCGGTTCTGAGGAGCCATCTGTGGCACTTGGACGTCGGTGAAACTGGTAATTTGTGTGACCCAGCAGCAGAGGCCAACGTTCCTGTGGGCATCTTCAGCAACTCTGCGGGAGCTTACTTATTAACTACCAATGGGGTCAAGTTCAGCAGCAGGAACCAGCAGGTTGCAGCCGGAATTTAATAGGAAAAAAGTAACTCTAGCTCGTAAATGATAGTAAGAGATGGAAGAAAGAAAGAAATACTGAAAGTGCTTTGCAAAAGTAGTCATATCCCCTGATATATTTACCATATTTTCTCATCACAAGACAAACCTATTTCACATTTGTTTGTGTATTTTGTGCGCAAATAGAACATAAACTCAAAGAGGAAACAAACAGATACATAGTAAAAAAAAATCAAAAATACAAAGAAAAATCTGAAAAACGTGTCATGATTTAGAGATAATCTTCGGATGAGTCAAGAATTTGTCAAACTACATTTTCAGAGCATTGCTGTGAATCATGACACAGAGATCAAATGTTTTTCGCAGATACTCCTGTGTGTCCAAAACAGCGTAAGCTCAGATGGACTGAATGAACAAAGACCCTGATTTGGTTAGAGCCCACTTACTCTGCTGCAAAAATAACAATATCACATTACACTACCACAAAGGGCCTTTTTTCTTCTTTGTACAAGAACAGATGTAGATACTCATACACACATATTCTGCTGTAAGCAATTGTAACCAAAGTTAAATTCCTTTTTCTAAAAAATCCTGGCCAATAAAGTTAATTCTGTGACATGGAAGCTATCCTTGTAAAAAAACCATCCTCTTGTTCTCCGCTTTGCTTCGTCCAGAGTTGAGAATCAACGGCTTCCTGGCGCATCGACTCCTGTTAAAAGTTTTAAACCACTGGATCTGATTTTACCCAAATCTAATTCTCCCAGAAATTGTGTGTGCTGTAAGCAATGAACCCCCACTGTGAAGAGAGATACACCGAGCCGAACGAGGCAGGTGTTGATGAGAGTTGCTTCGTTCTTGCTTCCACTTTACCTGCTCAATATTTGGAAGTGTGGCCAGGACGAACTGAACTGTTTTGTTCACTTCCTACTGGCGTATTGCTGAAACTACGTCCTGGTGACAATTCTAAAACAGCGCAGAAAATTGACGTCATAGTTCACTACTTCGCCTTCTGGTTGCCGATTGGTACGCTTGAAATTTTACTCAAGAAATCCAACTCAATGGGAGGAATCCCACAAGGAACAGTGATGGGAAATGAGAATCAAGTGGAAGGAAATGGCCAGGCTTTGTTCACTGGTTTTCTCTTACAAACTTCTGAGACCGTAACAAGACAAATTGAATTACATACACAGACAGACTCCTTTTGACTAGATGACCTCCGAAGGCTCACAGTTGAATTCGATTTTATGTAAAGATTATCAGAATAAAAGGGATTCAACATAAATGTACATTAAGCCTTCAATGTAAAAAAATATATATTATTGTTGAACTTACAGACTACTTTGTGACAGAAACGTTTAAGGGCTAAGAAACCTTTTCCTCGACTCTACAGAGTTAACATGGAGCGCAAAAAAAACATTTTACGTAAAACTAAAGATTCCCACGTTAAAATAAAATAATTAACATCAATCTATAAATGTTCTTCCTCTGTGCCTTAATTTAGAGGCAATCCTAAAGTAAGTTTGTAAAACTGAATGTTTTTCTTCTCTCATGAAGGCACATGAGATTTTCCTCCAACACTGATGGACACTTTGTAACGCCACTTGATTCCAAAATTTCACCAACAATGAGAATCTCGGTTTACAGTTTATTTTACCGAGCTCCATTTAAAACGGCTCTATAAACACACAAAAAGTCTGGCCAATTAAAAGACTTTCGCTCTCTAAACATTTTTCAGATGCATTACGTTTGGCTCTCCTGGTCTGAGCGAGGGGTTCAAAGGAAAGCTGGCGCTATTGTCCGTCACATTTAAATATCATACAATCAAGCAATTCAAGCATGACCTCTCCGTTTAGCTCGATGCCATGAAAGGCTCTAACTTGTTCAGTCTCTAAGCACTGAAAGGGATTTTGGTAAACACTGGAGCAGCATGTTTTCAGCCTGTTAAATTATTTACATGCTGGCCCAGTATTTACCACTTTGCATCATTACAGTAATTGCCTAGAAGTCACGAATGCGCTGATCGTCTCGAGCCGTATGCTTTGCAGGCTTCCAGACCCAAATAAAATTCACTTGCCATCAAAGGTCGTCTCATCATCAAAGATGTTGAGTATTAAAAAGAGGGATGAGTGTGCTGATTAAAAATGTAAGGGTCAGAAAGGAGGGCTGGATTTGGTGCGTTATTTGCTGTGAATGCGTCTCCTCAAACGCAACTGAATGGGTGAATTATGGGGAGCAGCTGACCGTACAGTGAGCCACATGTGACCCGCCTACCTCACTTTATGTGGCCACCCCACAGTTTGGTAGGACCATGACTGACTTAAACTAGGTTAAAAGCATGAATTGATCATAAACTACATCTCCCATAGTGCATTTGGATTGTTACAAGACATTATGGCTTCTCGCCACTAGAGTGCAACAGCTTCACCTCAAGCCGATTTTTGATTTTCCCAGTGAATAAAACCGAGACATCGTCAAGCTAACCTCGAAATGTCCAAGAAAAATCGATACACAACGAAGATTGTTTCATGAACAACGGGGAAAACGGATATGCGCTCGTACTTCCAGGAGAAAAACCAGTGGGCGTTTTGTGTTCTGGGACAGTTGACACAGCATTCGTCAGCACTTTGAAACCAAACATGGAGATACATACGCAAGATTTAGCCTCCAAGAAACACCAAAATTGTGGCAGAATTAAAAGGCAGACCATCAACGTTGCGCACCATGTTAAGCAAATAGCCAGAAATTTAGCGACACAACTGGCTGAAGAAATGAGAAGCTATCTAGCTTTTTGGTTAGCTGTGGATGAACGCGCAAACATCGTGGACACCGCACGTCTGTCCACGATGGAGCGAGACCTTTCTGTCACCGAGGAGCTCCTGGATGGAGCTACAGGCTTTGTGTTTTGGGCCATTTTAACTGACCTCATTCAGATGGACTCCTTCATCGCTGCCTACATGTGCATTAGCACTTTGACAAACTAAAAAAAAAACAAAAAAAAAACTGTTACAAGAAAATAGGCAAGAGGTATTGCGCTACAAAAAAACAAAGGGTGATTGGGATGAGTGGGATTCTTACCACAGCGAGTCCATACTTCCCAGTGATTCCTGCAGACGTTCTAGTCGACACCATAAACATGACAGAGAACACAAAGTTTCACAAGATCTCCAGCAGAGAGACCTGATCAATTAAAAGGTATAGAATTTTAATTGCATCATTGATACTTGGAATGCCAATCAAATGAATACGCAAAACACAAAAATGGATGATTAATGAGGTTTTTGTGCCGCAAATAAGGAACAAACGGCGCTTTTGCATTGAAAACTGACACGCAAGAGAAAAAAAGACGCATTTATTTATTTCCATACCATCAGCGTTTAGAGAATTATGAAATGAAAACCTTCTTTATAATCTACTGCGAAGGAGTTTTCATGTGATGTGATGTTTGTTTTGTTTTCTCTGAGCTTCGCCTCTGTGGGTTCAATAGAAAACTATTACGAGAGCCTGAACTCTGAAAATGACCTTGGCATTTAAATAGCTGTTAAACCAAATGAGAATTGGATAATTTGATTGAACATGTAACAATCCCAGGAAAACTACTTTCTTTGAAAAATTTCCTTTAAAAAAACAGTTTTCAATTTTTATAAAGCAATAACAAAGCCTCTTTGGGGAACAATACGTGACAGAAATGCTGATTCAGCGTGTCTACATCCACTCATCAGGACCATGAATGCCATACTCCTTTCTCGTTTTTAAAATTATTTTTCTCAAACCTTGAAACCAATTTTTCCGATGAATAGACTAAACGGCGAACCTCGTCGAAGAATTTTGGAAACAAGAATTAGATGTGCAGGTCTGAAATTTTAGATGTGCTTTTCCTCTCGACCCCTCAAGGTCAAACTTCTTAAAGCTTTTTGGCAGAGCTGGTAGGTTATTAGAGTCGGTCGCCTTCGTGGCACAAACCATGAATCGTCAGCAGAGTTCAGAAAGCCTCAAGACTTTTTTAAGGAGTTACTCTTTTCTTATTTTGTTAATAATGATCGATTTGTGAAAGCAGCAAAACGTCCCAGGGTGTGAGTTCTCTCTACAGACACTGAAGATATTATTTATGTAATCTTCCTCTGGAGAAAAGCCTACGGTCCAAATAAATCATTAACAGACGAAAACCAACGTTCATACGCTTCACACAGAAAGAAATTCAATAAAATATCACTTTATGTTATGACGCAGCATAAGGGTTATAGTAAGAAAAAAGAAAAAATATATATTACTGCAAGAATAAAATCAAAATAATAATGTGGGAAGTGCTATGAGGATACAGTTGAAATACAATAAAATAAATATTTTGAGAATAAAATCGTAACGTTACAAGAATAACGTCATAATTTTGTGACTATTTTAGTGCTATGACTTTACTCTTGTAATACTTGGAGAATGTTCTTTTTTCCTCGTACAGTTCTTTTCTCGTAAAATCACGGCTTTATCGTCGTAATTTCACTTCCTTCATATTCACAGCGCAGCCCCAATACGCCGTCCTCTCAGTACATCCGTCACTTTGAAATGCTTCAGAAACCACGTCTCCTTTTTCCCCCCTCTCGTCCTTTTCTTGTCCTTTAGGAGTTCTTGAAATTACTATTAATAATAATAATAACAATAATAATAAAAAATAAACAACAGCTAAATCTCTCTCATTGCATGGCAGACAGTTGTTGGTGTCCTTTATCGTGGAGAAGAGAGACAGCAGCGCTTTGTAGACATTTAACCTTTTTATATAGTCTTACAATTGAGGCTCTCAAGGCCTTTCATTTGTGAAGTTCCTGTGGGGGAAAAAAAATCAGGGAGCTTGGACTCATTTTACTACCAGTACAGTATATTTATATTTCAGCTCCAATCAAAATCTAGCCAATATGCCTTCCCTATGTAT